CATGGGGTCACGAAGAGTCGGACACGACTTAACGACTAAACAACAACAACAACAACAAAAGGAAGTCCTTCAACACATAGCACATAGTTAATCTATGGAATTCTTTACCACAGGATGTAATGGCAGCTGCCAACTTGGAAAGGTTTAAAAGATTTAGACAATTTCATGGAGGAGAATCCTGTTTATGGCTGCTAGTCATGGCAACCATATTTCAGCTTCCTTTTCAAAGACAGTATGGTTCCCAAAGCAGTTGTTGAGGAATACAAGTGAGGAGGAGGGTGTCTTGCTTGTGCGTTCCCATCAGCATCTGGCTGGCTGTTGTGGAAACAGCACACTAAGCCAGATAAACTCATCAGCTCTTTTGAAGTTAACCCAGAGCTAATGACAGACTCTGCCATACCTTTTCCAGCTGCAAGCTCTAATATGATTATTTTCATGTGCCCCTTTCTCTAGTACACTTAGCAGACATGCATGAATAAACCTTGGCCAAACCTTTCTTACTATATCAAGAGAGACAAAGCAACAGACACAGTATTATGGCATGAATTTCTTCCTATCAGTTCACATCAGTATATTTTATGGTAATTGTTTTCACCTCAGTGAAAAATTCATAGGAATCCTTAGCTCCCTCTCTACCTATCCCAGAGGCCTTCATTCCCCCAAAGGGCAAATTCAGATCTCTGATAAGCCAACAATTGGTCCACACCAATCCAGACTGGAGTCTCTTAGCAACACGATGAATCCGGCCTACGTTGTTTGACCAGACCGTGGCTGCCAGGCCATATTTGACTCCATTAGCTCTCCTAATCACTTCCTCTTCTGTGTCAAACACCATTACACAAGTTACAGGACCAAAGATCTCATCCTGAATGCAGCATGAATCATCACCAATTTCAGTGATGACTGTTGGAGGCAAGAAATAGCCTTTCTGGTTTCTTGAAGGAAGATCCAATGAATCTATTCCCTCTCCACAAAGGATCTTGGCCCCTTCTGTCCGAGCCTGTTGGATATAGTTCTTTACCTAATGGGAGCAGCAACAAGAAGAAGAAGCATATTTAGAGAAGACAGTAATTTCCAATTGTTAATAACTATAAGGAAATAGAAGACCATCACATATGGTTACACTCTCTGACACCCACATATATACTATATAATATCTATACATATTGTATGAACTAGTTAAGGTCTTGTGTTTTTACATGCTATTTTAAATAACATTAGCTTTTTAAAGGTTAATTTAATTTAATTTATTTAAACACACACCTTATACAATGAAAATATCAATGGAAAATTTATCATCAAAATATTGTGTGATTACTTCATGTAGCATTAGTAGTTAAAAGATTTACATTAAGAATGGTAGAAAAATCTTAGACACTTCAACATTTGAGGTTATGGAAGAAAAATCTGAAACGTCTTCTTCAATTCTGCTGAGAATAGATTTGAAAAGTGAGTTGGCAAGAGGAAATATCAGGTTGTCTCCAACAAATCAATGGATCTGACATCACTGAGGAGATTTTTCTCCCTTCCAGTCATCCCTCTCAAAAGACCAAATGTGCTGAGGAAGGTTGAGGAATGTCCCATAACAGATGCAGAATAAGGATGCAGAAAGAAAGGGTGGGTCTTGTCATATAATTCAGCAAACCATTTTGTTTATTAAATGTGTACAAGAAAAAAAATAGGCAAATGTGAAAACTGGCCAAATTAAATAATGGTAAACAATTTTGATAGGGAAGTACTTACTTTTAGGAAGTACCCTGAGCCTGAAAGATCTTAAAACATTTACCTGTTCTTTGTCTGAAAATCACTCTGGATTTACAGAGATATAAGAAAAGCTCTCTCTTCATATATTGAGATACTCTCTCAAGTGAGGAAGAAAAAAATAGTTGCAGCTAATTGAGCAAATTTAAAACAGATTTTTTTTTAATGTTGTTTACCTTTGCTAAATGATCTTTACTTATCAATGCTCCCATATCAATTGTGGGATCTGAAGGATTTCCAACCTTCCATTTTCTAACAGCTTCCACAAACCTTCTCAAGAATTCTTTGGAAATGCTCTTCTGAACAAAGATTCTGCTGGTACATAAGCATATTTCACCCTGACAAGACCAAACAATGTATAGGAAAGGGAGAAATTCAGTAAGGAGTCATTATTTCAGTGAAGCATGAGTTTTTAGGATCTTTACAAGATGTATCAGTATCAGAGTGAAACCCTATTTAGTTCACCAAAGGAAAAATTTGCTTTCTAGATCTCATTAGTAAGAACAGTAAATTGACAACTGTCAAGATATAGAATTACAGGCAGTCCTCGACTTACAACTATTCATTCAGCGACCATTCAAAGTTACAAATGCACTGAAAAAAGTGCGTTTGCCTGAAGTTACGGCCATTGCAGCGTCCCCATGGTCATATGATTCAGGCACTTGGCAGCCTGCCCACACTTATGACCACAGGGGCACTTCAACTCCCCCCACCCATCTCCCTGCCATCTATGCCCTCTTGGCCCCCTGCTGCCTTGCGCTCTGCCACCACAGCTGACCTTCACCACCTTCTTGTTCCAAAAAGCCCCTTTGCAAAACGCCCCTTTGCAAAAAGTTGCTGGGCTGGGCTGGGCTTCTGCTTCATGCTGTGGGGGGAAAAAAAAAAAAAAGCCAAAAGCCCATCCCAGCCCCGCTCAGGAGCTTTTTGCAAAGAGGCATTTTGGCATGCTGCTGCTCAGGTGCTGCTTTTAGCTTCTCTTCTCTCTTCTCTCTTCTCTCTTCTCTCTCCTCTCTCCTCTCCTCTCCTCTCCTCTCTTCTCTTCTCTTGCAGCATGAAGCAACAGCCCAGTCCAGGCCCACTCCGCCCAGGAGCTTTTTGCAAAGAGGTATTTTGGAGCAAGAAGATGGCAAAGGAGAGCTGGGGCAGCAGAACGCAGGGTGGCAGAGGTCTGAGAGTGTAGAGTGGTAGGGCGACTGCAGCTGGGACTGGGCTGGGGCAGCTTCGGCTTCCCAGGGTGTGGCAAGCAGCCCCAGAGCTATACAGTTCTGGGGCTGCTTGCTGCCCCGCAAGTCAGGGTGCAGGGTGGTCAGAAGGGCAGAGATGGGGGGGGAGGTAGGTGGATGAGGCAGTCCCTTAACTTACTGAGACTCAGGGCTGGGAGGGACCAAACCTGCAATGGCTTGGACTGGGGTGGGTACTTGCTTAATGACCCACAATTCTCGGTTAATGATGGCAACCAGGACTGCCGGGATTGTGGTTGCTAAGTGATGTGGTCAAGTGACATCTCAATTTACGACCGCATCACTTAGCGATGGAAATTATGGTCCTGATTGTGGTCGTAAGTTGAGGACTACCTGTATGCCATAAATATAAATATCAGCAAGCTGTTATACTGTTTGTTAGTTAGCATCTCCACTCAATTTTTACCAAATAACAAGGAACATTTGGGAGGAGAGCAACTACTGTTGACCGTGACATTTTACGCCTTCTAGGGCCACTGCTTTCATACCCCACAGGTAAGGGGGAGAGATCTTATTTTATTTTGGTATTTCCAAGGAAGAATAGGCAGGCTATAGAAAGACTAACTGGTTCTCCTCCTGGTACTCAGACTAGGATCTGAGGAGCCCCCAGACACAGCACCAACAATAGGCAATCTATCCTGGGAAAGGGTTAGTAAGTCAATGGAGAATTCTCTTATGCTGTATTTGATCTTTTGGGATGTTCTATGTAGAATAGGAGCAGGGGCACTCTTTGGAGTAGCAAACTGTGAGGATATGAACCAGAAAGACCCATTCAAAAATTAATTCAGGTAGAAAAAGGGAGCTTACTCATCCATCATTATCAAGGAATATCCACGATAAACATTCACTGAGAGAGGATGCCATGTTAAGTCAGAAATTCTCTTTCATTCTCCCTTTCAAAATGTTATCATTGTTTATTTGAATCTATTAGCTGCCCAACTCCAGTAAGTAAAAAATGAATCATCTGATTCAGAATAGTCTTTACATTAAAATCTGTTATAAGGACCTAGAAGTTTCTCAAACTTCAGAAGTAAAGCTTGCATAAGCAGAGGGATGAACAAGTGATTATGTGTCTATACCTGGTTAGCAAAACTGGATTTTACAGTGGCAGGAATGCATTGATCCAAGTTGGCATCCTCAAAAATGATAGCTGGGTTTTTGCCTCCTAGCTCCAAGGAAAGCTTCTTACAGTACAAACTAGACCTTTGGATGATTTGCTGGCCAGTAAGTGTGCTCCCAGTGAAGGAAATCAGAGAGACCTCCGGATGGGAAACAAGAGCATCTCCAGCTTTGGGCCCACTTCCAAACACAATATTCACCACACCCGGAGGAAAACCTCATAGGCACAAACAGACAAAACAACATGTTCATGTAGTACTTTCCATTTAATTGGCAACTCAGAAACATATTCTTTTAATATAATACTTATGATCATACTACTTAAGTAGTATGCATGGGTTGTATATGATGGAGATTCCTTGCTCGTTACATCTGATATCTTTTAAATCTATTGTCGTATTTCATTGCAATCATGCTCTAAAACATGCTGTCAATAGTACAGCATGTTGATCACGTATTTGATATGTAACAGAATATTTTAAATTTAATTGGCTGGTGTGGGTCTTCCAGGCTGTGTGGCTGTGTTCTGGAAGTTTTGTTTCCTAACGTTTCCCCAGCACCTGTGACTGGC